ACTCCCCCACACTGCTCCCCCTCCCCCCACTGCCCCTCCCCCCCACGCCCCACACCTGACGGCCCCGCCCGCCCCTGTCAGATGCTCATTTTCCAGGTGTTCCTCCTCTACATTCTCCTCGTCTGCTTCTTCATCCGCGCCCTCTTCCTGGAAGGTGCAGCCAACAGCCTCAGACGGATGATCACCGCAGAGGTGAGGCGGGCCGGCACCCGGGCCCAGCCCCTGCCTCCCAGGCCTCCCTCCTTGCTGTCCGCCCCTCGGCTCTCCACCTGTGGTGGTCCCACTTCCCTGACTCCTCTCTCCACCCGCAGCTCTCAGCCTTGGCCTCCCTGGACCTGTGGCGCCAGGCGGGCGGCCACATCCTCTACTCGCTGGGCCTGGGCACGGGCACCATCATCACCTTCTCCTCCTGCAAGGCCGGGAGTGACAGCTGTGTCAGGGTGGCCTCCTTCGTGGCGCTGGTCAGCCTGCTGACCTCGCTGCTGGCCACGTCCATCATCTTCCTGGTGCTGGGGTTCTGGGCCTCCACGAGTGGCCCTGCCTGTGTCGAGAAGTGAGTGAGTGGTCACAGCCCCGCGAGTAGGAGGACAGCCCTCCCCACCCCTCTGGGCACCCGTCTGCGCACCGGGCCCTCCCGTTCCAAAGCTCCCCATAACTGGAAGGGCATTCCAGTTCTCCTCAGAGAGAACACGGGTGTGCCTGCCCTGAGGCTCCCACCTTGCACACGGAGTGAGGGAGAGTTCAAAGCCAGGTGCTCAGCTCGCCGGGGAGGCCGTTCCAGCACCTGGCCTGGGCTTGGGCTGCAGATCTGAATCCTTGGGGCAGCCTGAGACCCCTGTGAGACCCTGACTGGCGTCGTCTTGGGTGCATCCTGGTATCAGGACCAGGCAGAGTTCTTGTTTCCAGTTAGGCTGCACTGAAGGGGGCGGAAGTCCATGCTTCCATGATAGCGGCCATTAAAATATATACATAAATTATATATATAATTAAAATAGAATATATAAATAGAATATATGTTTGGTATATATATAGGTATATATAGTGGCGTGCAAGGTGAAGCCTCCACCTGCAGGGCCGGCATCCCATACGGGCACTCGTTCAAGTCCCGGCTGCTCCAGTTCCCATCCAGCTCTCTGCTGTGGCCGGGGAAAGCAGTGGGAGATGTGGAAGACGCCCAAGTGCTTTGCTTTGGCTCCTGCACCCGCATGGGAGACCCAGAGGAAGCTGCTGGCTCCTGCCTTTGGCTTGGCCCATCTCTAGCCGTTGTGGCCATTTGGGGAGTGAACCAGCAGAAGGAAGACTTCTCTCTGCCTCTCTCTCTAACGCTGCCTCTAAAATAAATAAATAAATCTTTAAAAAAAAAAAAAAGCTGAAAAGAAAAGCTGGATTCATCAAGATGAAAAACTTCTCAGCCAAACACCATGAAAACAAGTAGGCAAGACCAAAACCAGGAGAAAATCATGCAATAAACACACACACACACACACACACGTATGTAGGTATATATGTGTGTGTCTATGTATTTGTGTGTTCATAATAAATTAATATTTTAAGAACTAAAACTCAACAATAAGAGGACAAAAACGAAACAGTTGAAAACTTGAGTGTAGCAGCGACGGATAGGCGCGCTGGACCGTTCAACGTCGGGATTTTCGAGAATCACCCGTCTCCAGCACAGGAACTCCAAGCAAAGTCCCGCGAGGTCTCACTTTGACGCTGACTGGAGGGGCTGGCGCTGTGGCACCGCAGGTGAGAGCCCCGGCCTGTGGTGCCAGCTTCCCATACGGCCGCCGGTTCAAGTCCCGGCTGCTCCACTTCCGATCCAGCTCCCTGCTAATGCGCCTGGGAAAGCAGCGGAAGATGCCCAAGTGCTTGGGCCCCTGCACCCGCATGGGAGACCCGAGGAAGCTCCTGGCTCCTGCCCTTGGCTTGGCCCAGCTCCAGCCGTTGTGGCCACCTGAGGAGTGAACCAGCGGGTGGAAGACCTCTCTCACTGTCTCTGCTTCTGCCTCTCTGTAACTCTGCTTTTCAAATAAATAAATAAATCTTTAAAAACAAAACCAAACCCTGTGCGGTGGGCACCGCCCCAGCTCGACACTGTCCAGCAAGACAGCCCCGGCCACACGTGGCCACGAGCGCTTGAAGAATGGCGAGCACGGAGGGACGGGGCAGAGGGACTTAGTTCTGAGCTTCACCAGTCTGTATTTAAGCAGCCACGTTCATCTGATGGCTGCCACACTGAACCAGGTTCCGCAGGGCCGACTCCTCCCAGCGGCGCCCCTCCCCACCGGGGGGCCTGCTCCGTGGGAGCCTCACCCCGCAGTCTGCCCTCACGTCCACGTGGCTGTCATCTCCCCGGGTGCCCCGTCTCAATGTCCCCTTTCTTTTCTTTTTTTTTTAGATTTATTTATTTTATTTGAAAGTCAGAGTTACACAGAGAGAGAGGCAGAGAGAGAGAGAGAGAGAGAGAGAGAGGTCTTCCATCTGCTGGTTCACTCCCCAGTTGGCCACAACAGCCGGAGCTGCGCTGATCCAAAGCCAGGAGCCAGGAGCTTCTTCCAGGTCTCCCACGCGGGTGCAGGGGCCCAAGGACCTGGGCCATCTTCCACTGCTTTCCCAGGCCACAGCAGAGAGCTGGACAGGAAGTGGAGCAGTCGGGTCTAGAACTGGCGCCCATATGAGATGCCAGCACTTCAGGCCAGGGCGCTAACCTGCTGCGCCACAGCGCCGGCCCCATCAATGTCCCCTTTTCATAAAGACACCCGTCCTGTTGGATCAAGGACCCACCCTGCTCCAAGCTGACCTCATCCGAATTGCACCCAAATAAGGTCGCGTTCGGAGGTCCTGGGGCTTAGGACCTCGGCTGGGACCAGTGCGGGGCAGGGTTCAGGCCACGGCACTGGGGCCCCAGCCTGCCTCCACCTGTGGTGCTGTGCGCCGGCTCAGGCCCCCGCGCGGTCCATGCCTCTGCTGTCCCCCTGACTTGCCCACAGAGAAGGGCCAGCCCCTCCCACCCTTTTTCTCCCTGCGTCCCCTGAAGGAATGTCTCCAATCTGATCAAGCTGGTATCCATGGGGGTGCTGCCTCAGGAAGCCTCGCCCCCCAAAAACCTGTCCACGTGCCCGCTGAAGTACCTGGCCTGGATCGCCAGTCTCCCCCAACGCCTCCAGCCTCAGGTCATACACAGGGCCCCGCCCTGCAGCGTCAAGAAGCAGACGGAAAAGGTGGGTGCGCGGGGCGGGGCCCCGAGGACCCTGGGGAGACGCGTGTCCCAGCAGCTTCCTGGGCCGCCCACACCTCTCGGCAGGCAGGTGGCAGCCGCAATCACGGGCCACCACGCTCGGAAGGCGCCCGGGTCTCTGCTGGGTGGACCTCGCCTGGGCACCCCGCCAGCCGTCCGCCCGAGACAGACAGTGCTAGCCGATCCCTGCGCCGTGCCCCTCTGCTCAGAGCCCCTGTCGCCCACAGCTGATGGAAGGCCCCGGCCTGGCCTACGCAGCCTTCTCCCAGGTCGTCTCGCTGTTCCCCAGCGCCTCCTTCTGGGCCATCGTCTTCTTCCTGGCCCTGATCATCACCGGCCTGGGCCCCATGATGCGGCTCCTGCAGAGCGCCGTCTTCCCCCTGCAGAACTCCGTCCGCGTCTTCACGAGGCACCCCAAGCTGGTCCCAGGTACCCGGGCTGTCCACCCGGGGAGCGCCCGCCCACCTCGCACCCCCCCACCCCCGAGCTCGCGCGCGGAGCTCAGCGCAGGCCCCCGCCCCGCCTCAGTCATCGTGTGCTCCGGAGGCCTGCTGGGCAGCCTCGCGTTCGCCAGCCGCGCCGGCAGCTACCTCGTGTCCCTGGTGGACGACCACCTGGTCCCGCTCACCCTCGTCGTCGTCGTCGCCTTCCAGAACATGGCTCTCGTTTGCATCTATGGAGCCAGGAGGTGACTTCCGGCCCAGGTCTATGAGGGCTGGGGCTTGATCTGCCCACAGCGCGGGGGAGCCCCACTTGGGAGCCGCCGGGCGGGGTCCCCAGGGGTCCTGGGCTGGGGCCGGCGCTCCCTGGGACGCGGGTTCCCTGACGGCCGCCCCCGCAGGGCCCGGGAGGAGATCTCCATGGAGCTGGGCTGCCAGCTGTCGCACCGCCTCACCTTCCTGTGGGGCTACGTGACGCTGCCCGGGCTGCTGGCCCTGCTCAGCGTCTGCCTCATCCAGCTGCACCAGCCGGGAGCGGCCACCTACGTGGCCTGGAACAGCAGCTCGGTGAGACCCCAGCCCACCCCCAGGACAGCCGCCAGGCCTCGCCCCCCCCCAGCTCCCCTGCCCAGCAGCACATAGACGGCTCCCCTCCTCCAACGCCGCACCCCTCTCTCTGCCCCAGAGCCAGGAGGCACGGCAGCCCTACCCGAGGAGCACCCTGGGCTGGGCCACCTGCCTCAGCCTGCTCGCCCTCCTGCCCCTGCCGCTGCGGCCCCTCTACCACTGGTGGAATCACCAGGACCCCGCGGTCGCCGACGCCTGCAACAAGCCCCTGTCCAAGAAGCCTGCGCTGTCCCCCAAGCCCAAGCCCCTGCCGTGGGCCAAGCTGCAGGGGGACAGCCTGAGCCAGGGCTCCCAGGACAAAATCTACGAGAGCTCCTCGTTCAGCCTGCCCCTGGTCACCTCGGCCTTCTCCATGGTCAGCAGCAACCTGGCCCTCTCCAGGCAGGCGAGCCCGGCCCTGCCGGCCGCCGAGAGCAGCAGCGGGCAGCAGGCCGAGGCCCCGGAGGGCGCGGAGGAGGCGCCTGCCCAGTGACCCGGCGGAGGCCGTGCGCGGGTGCCCGTCGCTCGGCCTCGGAAGGAGGTGGACCGCCCGGCAGCTGGTTCTCCCGAACAGTGCCGGTTCTGGTGCACGGAACCGCCGCCCTCGGGTGGGAGGACTTGGAAGAGGAAGCCCACTCAGCTGCTCGCCGAGCCGGACCTAGGGCGCCATGCTGGCACGGTGGGCGCGGACGGAGACGGCCCCCACTCGCCTCCCCGCCGGGTCAACGCCCCCGCTGCCCTCCCAGAAGGGGCGGAGCCAACAATAAATGGGTCCGGGGGAGCCCAAGCTCGGAGCGAGGCGGAGCGATCTGCGCCAGGGCGCGCATACCTGGGCGCGGCCGCGCGCCCCGCCTTAGGGACGCAGGCGGCGAGTTCCCGGGCCCTGAGTGCCGCTCTGGAGCCCCGCGGTGGGTGACTGGTGGCCGCGCTGCACCTGCGGGGGGATCGCTCTGTCCCACGAGTGCCGTCACGCGCAGGCCCGGGGCGCGCGGCCACCTGGCTTCCACGGGCTGCGGACAGGCGCCTCGGAGAGCCTGCATAGCGGGCGGTGACGTCGCCGCGCCCCTCGGAATGCCACAGTTAGGGCGGCCCCGCGGGGTGCAGGCTGCCCCCACCGAGGTGACCAGGAAGCCCCGGAGCCTCTCACTTACCCCAGCGCCTGCAGATGTCGCCACACTTGGCCGTCAGTGCAGAGACACCGCGCCCCCAGGAGAACCGCCGTCCCCGTACGCCGGGTGTGAGGGAAGTTCTTAATTTCCGCCCCCCCCCGTTTATGGGGCCCTGCGCTCGCTCTGGGGGTGACAGCCTGGGAGCGCAGCCCGGGGGCCAGCAGGTGGTGGGGGCTGGGCCCCTCTCCCTCCTCCCCTCACCCCTAGGTCTCTTTCCCCCTCTCGGAACCAGCGCAGACCACCTCAGCCACCACGGGGTCTCCAGGGGGCTGTGTGGGAGAGGCCGCCTGAGACCCCGTGTGCCCCGAGTGAGATCAGGGCTGGCTCGGAGAAGCTCCCAGGCCCCTCCTCGGTTTTTAAAATTTTCTCAGAGACAGAGTGCTCCCATCTGCTGGTTCGCGTCCCAAATGCCCACAGTGACCAGGAGCTGGGCGCTCAGCTGAGACCTATAGGGGGCGGGGGGCGGGGACCACCCACCCGCGCCGTCGCCTGCTGTCTCCCAGAGTGCATGGTGCAGGCAGCTGTGTGGGACTGCACCCCACGCAGGCAACGTAGCTGAGCCTCCAGCCCCGGGCCCCCTCCTGGCGCTGCCGTGGTCCGGCAGAGCGACAGGCAGGCCGGCCGCCGGGCTCCTTCACCAGGCCTCCTCCCCGAAGGCAGACGCCGCGGGAGTCTCAGAGAAGAGGACGAACAGCCCCGCGAGTCCAGGCGGCCTGCCCCCGCCTTTCTCTTCCTAAGACGTAGAGTTACAGACTGAGAGATAGAGAGGGGTCTTCTACTTTCCAGGCCGCAAGCAGCAGCCGGGACAAGAACCAGCGCCCGTATGGGATGCTGGCGCCACAGGCGGAGGCTCAGCCTCCTATGCCACAGCGCCGGCCTCTACACCCAGCTAACAACTGCTGGGTCACTCCCCAAATGGCTGAGGCCAGGAGCTTCTTCCGGGTCTCCCACGCGGGTGCAGGGGCCGAGCACTTGGGTCACCCTCCACTGCTTTCCCAGGCCACAGCAGGGGGCTGGGTCGGAGGTGGAGCAGCCCGGCAGGTGGCCACTTTCCCGGCGACGCCCCGGCCGCAGCCGCTTCTTAGCGGGGTGTAGCAGGCGGCTGCGTCCGGCAGGTGGCGCTGCGGCGCTGCCGTTGAGGCGTCGCCCTGGTTTCCTGCCGGTTCCGAGTTCTGCAGACCAGCGGCGCACGCCGGTCTCGGAACGGGAGACTCCCCCGGTGCGCGTGGGGCGTTCGCAGACATCGGTACCCCCGAGAGTGATGGCCGATACGCCGCACTGGCTGCAAGGGTCCCACCTGACAGTCACTTAGGGCCGGGGACCGTGGTCTGCCTCCCGCCCGCCGCCAGCCACGGAGGAGGTGGGTGCGGGGGTGGAGGACACGCTGGCTGGGGAGACAGCGAAGGCAAGGAAGAAAACCAAACCCCACGCTCCCTTCGGGCCAGCACCCAGATTCCGACCGCGCCGGCCCTCGGCGCCTCTGCGCGTAGCTGCGGATCCGGTCCGAAGCTGGGGCACCTGCCAGCTGGGCTGTGGGCTCTTTCCCGTCCGCTCGATGCTCTGTCCAGGGAGCGAGGTCCTCACTGCTGAATCCACTCGTCTGTTGTAGAGACGCCCCCGCCCCCCCATCACGGCCCTGACCACGGTAGTGCTTCCTCCTCTCCCCCTGGAGAAGACCGAGCGACACCTGGGGCACCACTGGGCCAGCTTGGGTCAGTCCTGCCGGCCCCCGGGCCTCGGGGGGAAGACGGTGGAGACCCTGACTCCAGACCCACCTCCGCTCGGCCTCCGAAGAGGGAACGCCTGCTGGGTCCCAGGAGAACTCTCCATCCCCTCCTCCTCCCCAGCGGGCTGATCTGGGGTTGGACTCCACCGCGGCTGTGCTGTGGAAGTCACCAGGTGACACGGGACCCCTGGGCGGAGGCGGGACTCCCACGGGGTCTGCGGAAGGCCGCTTAATCAAGGAGAACCTGACGACAGGATTCTTTTAAAAGAAGAAAAAAAAAATTCTGAAAGGCAGAAAGAGGGAGAGGGAGAGAGATCCTCCATCTGCTGGTTCACCCCCAAGTGGCTGGGGCTGGTCAGGCTGAAGCCAGGAGCCAGGACTTCAGCCGGGTCTCCCACGCGGGTGCAGGGGCCCAGGGACTTGGCCATCCTCTGCTGCCTTCCCAGGCCACAGCAGAGCGGATAGGGAGTGGAGCAGCCGGGACTCGAACCAGGGCCCATATGGGATGCTTAATCCCCGCCCCAGAACGCAGGCCGGCTACAGGATAACTGGTAAAGGGGCTTCCTGCCTCGGGCCTGTCGCTGGCCCAGCAGCCTTGGTGAGCTGCACGCGCGGGCACGCTGGCTCTTCGCGGGTCCCTGGGTGCCTTCCGCTGGAGCGTCTCTACGCTGCAGCCCAGACGGCCCTCGAGGCGGCACAGGCGCTGGCGGCCTAGTGCGGGCATCGCCCCCAAAGACGGCAAGCGGCCGGGCCGCCCGAGCGCACGCCCACGCCCACGCCCAGGACCTCGGGCCCGAGTAGCCAGTGTGGCGCCCGGCGAGCGAGGCAGGCCCGCGGCGTGGGCACCGGAGCGCCGCCTTCCCTCCGAGGGGGCGGCCTAGCGTCGCCGTGGCCTGCGGGATCCGACTCACGCCTGGGTCTACACCCAGGAGAACGGGAGAGAGGAGCCCAAAGCTCCAACGACCCGGATGTCCCGCGCCGGGAGCCTGCTGCAGTGGGGGTGGATTTCTGAAAAAGCTTTATTTATTTATTTATTTATTTATCTGAAAGGCGGCGGGGAGGTGGGGGAGAGGGAGACAGTGAGAGATGGGTCTTCCGGCCGCTGGTCATCCCGCACGCGAGGGCCTGAGGCTGACCCCGGCTCCAGCTCCCTGGTCGCGCGGCCGTGGGGAGCGGCGGGGTCCCTGCCACTCGCGCTCCGACTCGGGGGCCTGGGGAGCTGCGGAAGCGGTGAAAACAAACGCAGGAGCGGGCGCAGGACCTGCAGAGGCTTCCCCAGGGGCACCGGAAGTGAAGGCGGCGACGCCGGAAGCGCGCCGTCGTGACCCGGAAGTGCATGGGAGGCCCGGAGGGCCTCTTCCTGCCTCCTCCTGGCGGGCGCCCCTCGCAGAACCGGCGTCTGCTGAGCGGACCAGCGCGCTGCGGGGGCTCCGGGCTGCCCAGGCTTCCGGCCGTGTCCCTCCCGGAGCCGCCCGAGCTGCCGGGGCGGTCATCAAGGGCGGACAGGCCGGGGGCGGGCGGACAGGCCGGGGGCGGACGGACGGGCCGGGGATGGACAGGCTGGGGACGGACAGGCCGGGGGTGGACAGACACGGACAGGCCGGGGGTGGACGGAGAGGCCGAGGGCGGACAGACAGGCCAGGGGTGGACGGACAGGCCAACAGGCCGGGGATGGACAGGCCGGGGACGACAGGCCAGTGATGGACGGACAGGCCGAGGATGGACAGGCCGGGGTCGGGCGGACAGGCCTGGGGTGGACAGACACAGACAGGCCGCGGGCGGGCGGACAGGCCGAGGGCGGCTAGGCCGGGCGCGGTCATCGTGAGGGCGGACGGACAGGCCGGGGATGGACGGACAGGCCGGGGACGGACAGGCCGAGGCCGCCCGCGTCGCCGTCTCCGGCCCGGCGCTCCGAGCCCCCGGCTGGGGGACAATGTCCGGGTTCTGAGCCCCGGACGAGCTGGTCGTCGGTGCTTTGTCACGGTGTCACTTGTCCCCGGTCGCCCATCTTTACCAGGTTAGCGTGGGGGGCTACTAATTTCCCACTAATTAGACTTTTTAAGGACACAGCGCGCTTACCCACTCAACTCCGCGTCACCCACCCCTGCGGTCATCGCCGGCGGGGCACTCGGGTCCCGCCCCCCGTGACCGCCATCAGAGCCCTGCGGACGAGCGGGCGCGGTCTGGGCGCTGCAGAAGTCGCGTTCGGACACCGCTCGTGGCAGACGGCTTTATTCCCCCGGGGTGGGGGGAGCTGTGCGTGACATCGGTGGTCCCTGTAGCCCTCAAAGGCCCCCCACAGGGGCGGAGTCGGGCAGCGGCCGGGGCTTCCGAGCCTGACCCCCCCCCCCCGCCCCCGTGCAGCCGATCCGGGAGGAGCCGGGCCCGGGCCGGGAGCCCCGCGGGGCGGGCCGAGGTGCGGCCGGTCTCAGGCTGGGCGCGGACAGTCCACTGGCGAGGCTCAGTCTGGGGGGGAGACGCACGGTGAGGGCCGGCGGCAGGCAGCCCGCCAAGCCGAGGGGCGCCCCCACCACACTGACCTGCGGGAGCCGGCGGGGACGGGGGCGGCGGCCCCCCGGGAGGCAGCAACGCAGAGCGGCCCAGCGCCTCGGCCACCCAGCCCAGCGCGCGGCTGCAGTACCGAACCTGGGGGCGGAGGGCGGCAGGGCAGGAGGCGGGGTCTCCGCTGCACCCAGCCCCGCCGCCCGCGCCGGCCAGGCCCCGAGTCCTCACCTCCCGCTCCAGCCCCTTCAGGCGCTTCTCGTACTCGCGCAGCTGACCCAGCTTCTTCAACGCCGTGTCCACCCTGCGCGCGGAGCGGTCAGGGGCCCCGCCCACCGGGGAAGCCCCGCCCCGGACTCCGCCCCCGACTCAGCAAGCCCCGCCCCGTGCCCACTCGGTGCCTGGACGCGCCCCGACCGGAAGCCCCGCCCCGGACTCCGCCTCCACATCAGCAAGCCCCGCCCCGTGCCTGCCCTCTGTGCCTGGACCCGCCCCGGCCGGAAGCCCCGCCCCCTCACTTCTGTGACGTGCGCTTCAGGCGCTCCGTGTCGCTGTCCCGCTTGTCCCGCGCACGAGCCAGCAGGAAGTTCTCCTTGTGCACCGACTCCCACGTCAGCAGCTTCCGCTCGTTTTCCTTGGAGAGGTAGATCCCTGGAGGGCGGAGCCGAGGCGTCAGGGCCCGCCCCTGGCCACGCCCCTCCCTTAGCGTGGAACCCTGACTCCCAGACTCCACCCTGGGCGTTTCCGGGGCACGCCCCGCCCCTCGCCGCCTAGGCCCCGCCCCCGACGTCGCGAGGCTCACGGAAATGCTCGGCGAATGCGGAGGGCGTCGAGGGCACGCGGCGGTGCTTGCGTAACCGCCTGAGCAGGAGGCGCACGTGGGAGATGATGATGAGGGGCGGGGCCAGGGCGGGCCGGGAATGGAATTCCCGGATGAGGCTGTAGCGCTGCGCCTTCCAGTAGAGGTCGCTGTTGCCTTGCACTTTGCCGAAGGTATGGCTGCGGAGGCCAGAGGTCAAGGGTCACCCGAGGTCGGGGTCAGGAAGCCACAGGCAGCAGGTCAATAAAGTCAAGTTGCAGGAGGTTACTATGTAGAAGGGTCAGAGGTCAGAGGCTGGGGTCAGACTCGAGTTCAGGGTCAGAGGTCAGACTGAAGTGGAGCCAATCCCGCAGCCTTGCAGGAATTAGGAGAAAAGCGCATTGCAGCGGCTGTGGGTAAGGAACTGACGAACGGGCGGATTCCTAGACACACAGGCGCCCCAGGCTGACGGCGGGGGTGGAGGTCTCAGGCCCCCTAAGCCGCAGGCCTGCGCTGCGGGGCGTGGACCAGTGGGCGGCGGCACTGACCCAGGCGTCCGCAGCGCTCGGGCATCCGCACGGACAGGCCTGCGAACTGCCCCCAGTGTGTTAGCTGCATTGTCCAATGCAGCTTTTCCTTGGGAAGGAATGCCTGCAGCGCCGGCATCCCACAGGGCGCCGGTTCCAGTCCCGGCTGCTCCTCTTCCTGTCCAGCTCTGTGCTGTGGCCTGGGAAAGCAGTGGAGGATGGCCCAGGTCCTTGGGCCCCTGCACCCGCGTGGGAGACCTGGAGGAAGCTCCTGGCTTCAGATCGGCCCAGTGCTGGCCATTGCGGCCATCTGGGGAGTGAACCAGCGAATGGAAGACCCCTCCCTCTCTCTCTCCCTCTCTCTTTCAGTAACTCTGCCTCTCAATTCGGGTGCACGGGGAGGGCGGAGCGCGGAGCTCTCGGCGGAGCGCGGAGCTCTCGGCGATGCCGCTAAGCCCCGGAAATTGGGGGCCACACTGGGGGGCTTCTCTGCTGCTCGTTCACTTTTTAGCTTCCAGAACGTTCTAGCTGACAGAGTCGAGAGGCAGTGTCTGTATCGCTTAAAGCCGCCGAGGCCGGTCCCGGGGCGGGTGGGCACGCGCTGCGGGGGCGGGACCAGCGCTAGCCCCGCAGGCGTGTCGGAGCCCCCCAGGCAGTCGTGTCGGGAGCCCCGCAGGCAGGCGTGTCGGGAGCCCCCCAGGCGTGTCGGAGCCCCCCAGGCGTGTCGGAGCCCCCCAGGCGTGTCGGGAGCCCGCAGGCGTGTCGGAGCCCCCCAGGCGTGTCGGAGCCCCGCAGGCGTGTCGGAGCCCCCCAGGCGTGTCGGAGCCCCCAGGCCCGCGCCGGCCGGCTCACCTGAACATGGCGATGAGCAGGTTGAGCAGCAGGATGTTGGCCACGAGCAGGAAGACCACGAGCAGCACCACCACCAGCCAGTTGGCGTAGGCCGAGACGCAGGAGCCGGCCTGCGGGCGGGGCGGGCGCGCCCAGAGCCCCCGCTCGGCCGAGCAGTTGGCCGGGTCCATGTAGGACACTGCGGGGACAGCGGACGTGAGGCGGGGCGGGGCCGGGGGCCACTCAGGCGCGGGGGGGGGGGGCCGGGGGCTCGGTCAGCGGGCGGGCGGGGGTGGTCAGGGGCACAGTCAGCGGGCGGGCGGGGGTAGTCAGGGGCATGGTCAGCGGGAGGGGGCCGCCCAGGGGCTCGGTCAGCGGGCGGGGGGGGGGTGCCGGGGGCTCCGTCAGCGGGCGGCCGGTCAGCGGGGGCCGGGCCTCCCACCGTCCATGTCCTCCTGCGGGATCTGCCCGAAGATCTGCAGGTAGGGCCGGTAGAAGACGCGGCGCAGGACGCTCGGGAGGTCACTGCCCGGGGGCCGCAGGAGCCCCTCCGTAGCCACCCCGTAGGCCACGAGCCACACGCAGAGGAAGAAGAGGAAGAAGAACACGTCCTTCATCTGCGAGGAGAGGGAGGAGCCGCTGAGCCTGGCCCCGCCCTCCCCAGACCCGGCCCTTCCACCTCCAGCTCCGCCCCTGCCCTCCACAAGCCCCGCCCATTTCCTCCAGCCTCCTCCAAGCCCCGCCCCTGCTCCGGGGAGTCAGGCCCTGCCCTCCCCAAGCCCAGCCTATTTCCTCCAGACCCGCCCTCCCACGCCCCGCCCCCTTCCTCCAGCAAGGCCCCACCCCTTTTCGTCTCCAGCCCCGCCCCGCCCCCCCCGCCTTCCGAGCCAGGCCCTGCCCTCTCCAAGCCCCGCCCCAGGCCCCGCCCCTTCCTCCCGCCCCGCCTGCACCCGCCTCACCATCTTGCTCACGATGACGATCTTGGGCCCCAGCTGCTTGTTGACGGTGAAGATGTGCAGCAGCCGCAGCGTGAAGACCATGAAGTCCAGGCAGAGGACCGTGCGGCCCAGGTCGTACAGGCTCGAGGTCAGCCTGCGTGAGGGGAGACCACGGGGTCACTGCGGGGTCCCCGGCGCGCGCCTGCTCCGATGACGTCAAAGGCTGCGAAGCCCCGGCAAGGAGAAAGCCCGGGGCGGGGGCAGCGGGCTGGGCCGACCCGGCTCCCTGCTACCACGCCTGGGGGCAGCCACCGAGGGCCGCCCAGGGCGCCTCAGCCGGGGCCAGTGCTGGCTGTGTGGTCATCTGGGGAGCGAGCCAGCGCACGGAAGAGCAGTCCCGTCGCCCCCAGCCTCTCTGCCTTTTAAACATGCACGCACACGCAGAGATGGGCACACAGACACACACGGACGCAGAGACGCAGACACACGCAGAGATGCACACAGACACACACGGACGCAGAGACGCAGACACACGCAGAGATGCACACAGACACACACGGACGCAGAGACGCAGACACACGCAGAAATGCGCACACAGACACACACACGCAGAGATGCGCACACAGACACACACACGCAGAGATGCGCACACAGACGCACACCCAGAGAACAAAGTCGGGGAGCTGCCGGCACGCGGGCCAGCACATCCGAGAGGCAGACGCGCAGAGCCCCTGGAAGCTGGTCAACACAGACAAGCACCCATGGAGCAGGGGACGCGCTCCCGGGCTGGGGCAGCAGGCGTCGGCGGGACTGCGGCAGAGCGGGGTCCCCTCCTGCGCTGGGGCCTCGGCCGGCTCACAAGCCTGGGTGCACCACGGAAGGCCAGAACCCTTGGGCAAGCAGCTTCCCCAGCAGCTGTGACAGGTGCCGCACGCTGACCGTCCCGGGAGCGAGGGGCAGGGTCGCGGCAGGGAGACGACGCACGGGTCTGGCTGCTTGAAAACAGCCCGTTTCCCTGCCTTCGGCCGAGGACACCGACCACCTGGCTCACGTCCCCGCCCGGAGCGCACGGCGTGGGTGCGGCTGAGCGGCCTGGGACGGACCCATCCAGAGGGCGCCCCGCGGACTGACCGGCCGGGGCACTCAGCGGGGCCAGGAGCAGACCCGCGGCCGGGATCGACGCCTGCGCCAGACAACGGCCAGCTGAGGCGACCTGGGAGTCCCGGCCAGGTGCTGACATCCGGGAGCCGAGCGAGGGCCGAACAGGAATTCTCTGTACTGCCTCTGCGTTACTCGAGAATGCGTCTCAGATGATTCAAAACGAAGGGGCTGCGTAAGTCCAAACAGGCGGGGGCATCCTTACCCATCCACCGGCAAAAGGGGAAATCGAGGAAGAGTGAAACCGTCGGGAGTGGCCTGACGTGGCCTCAAGGGGGCGCTCTCGCCCTGCTAGCCCGGGCGAGGCCAGGGAATCGGTCCAGTCGGGAGCGAACGCACCCTTTGGCCCACAGACTTTTACATCTGCGATAACAAACTTTTATTGCTTTGTTATAATAAAACACACGGGAAGAACCTGCGCGATCCGGAACTGGCAGAGTGAAGCCTGACTCATCGATAGCTCCGGAGGGGGCAGCCCGCCGTCGGCCGGGACGTCCACGTGGCGCACGAATGCGGCGAGGGACCAGCAGGTGCATCACTGTTCCCCGCGCTTACCCTGGAGGCCTGCGCGGCCCAGCACAAAGCGAGCCTCGGGCCGCCTGAGCAAAGCCGTGGTGGGCGGCGGCGCCCTGGCAAGGGCCGTGACTGTGACCACGGGGCATCTGCCAGTTCTCGAAACGAGGGCGGGACAGCTCAGGCTCAAGAGGAAAAAAGGAGAAAGGAAGGGAAGGCACCTTAGCAGCGCAGGTTAGAGCCAGAACAGCCGATGTCGGCTGTGACGTCACAGCGCCTCGACTTCGCTCAGGAGCTGGGGGGGGCTGGTGCTGTGGCGCAGCAGGGACGGTCACTCCCATAGGAGACGCTGGTTCCAGTCCCAGCTGCTCCACATCCCATCCAGCTCCCCAGGCACGGCCTGGGGAAAGCAGCAGAGGACGGCCCAAGTGCCCGGGCCCTGCACCTGCCTGGGGGACGCAGATGAAGCCCCTGGCTCCGGCGTGGCCAGCAGTGCCCATCTGGGGAGTGACGCAGCGGACGGAAGACACCTCTCTCTCTCTCTCTCTCTCTCTCTCTCTCTCTCCCCCCCCTCCCTCCCTCCCTCTCTCTCTCTCTCTCTCCCCCTCCCTCCCTCCCTCTCTCTCTCTCTCTCTCTCTGCTTTTCAAATAAATGTTTAAAAAAACAAACCATGGGCTCAAAGCAGAGTGCTGACGGCAGGATCTGGACACGCAGGGGCGTGTGACACGGGGAGAATTCCCAGAGTACCCCCCCCCCCGGCCGGCTCGGAGTGCCTGCGAGCGGGGCGCCGCCCTGCGCCTGGGAGGGCGCCCCGGGCCCCGGCCGGCCGGCACTCACCTGCAGCCTACGCCCAGGAGGAAGCAGCTGAGGGCCAGCAGGTCGCACTGGTTCCAGGCGTCGGTGAGGTAGAGGTGCAGCCGCTGGCGCAGCGGGGCCTGGCCGGGCCCCGGGCCGCCGCTGGCCAGGCTGCCCCCGCCGGCGCCCAGGCCCTGGCGCAGCTCCTCGCACAGCAGCGTGAAGGCCCAGAAGTAGAGCAGCAGCTCGGGCGGGCCCGGCGTGGGCCGGAAGTCCACGAGCAGCACGCGGGCAAACAGCAGCAGGAACAGCAGGTAGCTGACCACGTTGCCCAGGAAGGCGGTCACCGGCGCCCCCCAGAAGTGCGACCAGCGGCGCATGCCCCGGCGCCACGGGGTCTCCCGGCAGCGATCCGGGGGCGTCGCACCCAGCAGCGTCTTCTCAGGGGGGTCGGCAGGCCTGCGGGGGGCAGGGGGAGGAGCCTCAGCCCGACCTCTGAACTCTGACCCCGCCCCACTGGAAATTAAGCCTGACCCACCGCCGCCTTCTAGACTCTCCTCCTCCGTGCCCACCCTCAGACCACCAAAATCCACCGCCTTCCACGGGGACTTCCTTTTGACCTCTGACCCAAGTCCATCTTATTTTGCCTTCACAACCTGTGGCCCAGGGCCGGCGTGTCGTGTGGCAGGTTAAGCCGCTGCTTCCACGCCTGCATCCCAGGCCTGAGGCTGGGTCCCCCCGCTCCCTTCAGATCTCCCTTCATCCTCCTAAGCAGTGGAGGATGGCTCAATGGCTCAAGTTCTTCTTCTTTTTTTAATTATTTTATTGGGGTCAGTGCTGTGATGTACCAGGTAAAGCTGCCACCTGCAACCAGCATCCCATGTGGGTGCCAGTTCGAGTCCTGGCCACTCCATTTCCGACCCAGCTCCCTGCTGTGGCCTGGGAAAGCAGTGGAGGATGGCCCATGTCCTTGGGCCCCTGCACCCGCGTGGGAGACCTGGAAGAAGCTCCTGGCTCCTGGCTTCAGATCAGCTCAGCTCAGGCCATTGTGGCCATTTAGGGAGTGAACCAGCGGATGGAAGACTCACTCACTCTCTCTCTCTCTCTCTCTCTCTCTGCTTCTGCCTCCGCCTCTCCGTCACTCTGCCTTTCAAATAAATAAATCAATCTTTGGGGGAGGATATTAATTTATTTATCTGAAAGGCAGAGTGACGGAGAGAGAGAAATATCTTCCACCCACTGGTTCAGTCCCCAAATGATCACAACGGCTGGGCTGGGCTGGGCTGGAGCCAGGAGCTCCCTCCAGGCCTCCCACGTGGGTGGCAGGAGCCAAGGACTCGGGCCATCTTCTGCCACTCTCCCAGGCGCACCAGCAGGGAACAAGGTCAGGAGTGGCAGAGCCAGGACTTGAACCAGCGCCCACACGTGATGCCGGTGTCTAACCCACTGCACCACAACGCCAGCCCTGGCTCAAGCTCTTCCGTCTCCGCGATGTGGGAGACCCAGGTGGAGCTTCCGCCTGGCCCAGCCCGGGCTGCTGCTGGCCTTGGGGCAGTGAACCAGTGAATGAGCAGACGACAAGACAAGACCAAGACAAGACGCAGCAAGAACAGGCAACGCTAAAGGAAGGAGACGTGAGCGCTTCGGGCCGGGGCCTTGGCGCGAGAACATGGAGGAGACAGTCCGGGTGTATCCCTCTTCACCCTCCAGCAGGGTGGGGTGCACGTGGACTGTTCCCTACATCCGCTCCCGTGACCCCCACACCGGGGCCGCACGGGGTCCTGAGCCCTGCCCGGGCCTCCCCGCAGCGGCTGCAGGGTTCTGCCCTGCTTCCCGCACAGCTGGCCAGGGAGGGACCAAGATCTGCGTTCAAATCCCAGCTCTGCCCCACACCAGTCTCACCGCCACCTTAGATGAGAGCCTGATGCCTCAGTTATCCCATCTGTAAATGGGGAGACCACAGGACCTATCGTATAGGGTGTCAGAGAATGAAAGGAATGACTGTCACATACCACGGCTGACCAACCAGTGCGAGTGGCCTACAGCTCGTCCCCGCCGTGGCCCCGTCGGTGAGGGCGGGAGCCCCCGGCCGGCACGCCGTCACGGCGCTGCCTCAGCAGCCGGCCGCTCTCCTCTCTGCTTGGTGAACAGCTGTATTCTCCGTACACCGTCTCAGAAAACCAGCTGTGCCCACTCGTTCCAGGCTGGCCTGTCTCACGAGGCACACAGCCGGTCCTACTGACGCCTGCACCCTGAGCGTGTCCCTGACAGCTCCAGAAACCACCTCTCCTGGGGGCACTGGGGAATGAGGCCCAGCCGGGCCCGTGGAGGGGGCTGGAGTGGAGACGGAGGCTGCAAAGCCAGCTCTGCTTCCCCGTGGCTGTGGACCCAAAGCGCTATACACGCGCGGGCACACACGCATGGCCACACGGCCGCGCCGGGGAGGACAGAAGACCCCAGGAGTGGCCCTCAGACCCTGGCCACGCCTTCTAGGTTTATTTATTTTCTTTGAAAGGCACAGAGGCAGGGAGAGGAGAGAAAGAGGAGAGGGAGACAGAGAGGGATCGTGCTATCTGCTGGTTCTCTCCCCACATGTTCGCAACAGCCAGAGCTCAGCAGTCCAGGTGTCCCCTGTGGGCGGCAGGCGCCCAAGTACTTGAGCCATCACCTGCTGCCTCCCAGGTGCGCATGCGCAGGAAGCTGGACCTGGGAGTGGAACCGGGTCTCGAACCCAGGCCCTCTTATCTGGGATGTGGTGCCCCACGTGGCATCTCCACCACTGGGCCAGAACCCAGATGTGCCAGAACCCTAACCCTACCCATTATCGCAGTGAACCCCTCCAGCCGGTCAATCTGCCACTGGGGCGGGTGGTTCGGGACCAGGAGAGCTAGGATCTAAGGAGCTGCCGGATGATTTGCGTCTGCCGGGGAATACGGGCTGAGGGGACCCGTGTCGCCTCCACGCGGAACGTCTGAGTCCGGGCCTGGTTCACTGTCTCCTCCCTCTGCCGGGAGACCAGCGACCAGCAACGCCCTGGCTGGGTTGGGGACACTTGGTCACCCCAAGGTGGAGGCCACGCGGAGCAGCGCTGTGGCCACGCCACAAACGGCCTGGGAGTGAAGGTCTGCTCCGTGCCTGTGAGCCAGGGTGAGCTGAGGGTACCGGAAGTGTGCACTGTACCACCCTCCCCAACAGAGCAAAGAGCGTGCCAGGCGCTTCCCCCGCGACCACGGGGCTGACTGGGGGCTGCGCCCACCGCCCCTGCCCAGGGGACTGGGCTCGTGTCGCTGGGCCAGGGAAAAGATCAAAATTCAAAATCTGATTTCTCCTGCACGTCGCCATACAGAGTCCCAGCGAGAACCAGTGGTGTGGTCCGCAGCCTACCCAGCCGGCCGCCAAGACTTCTAAAGGCTTTGCCACTGCCGCTCCGCCCGGCCTAAGCTAAGCCCTCCTATTCACCGTCATCTCACGGCGCTCAAAGTCAGGATTTGAATCCAGCTCCCCGGGCACCCTCACTATGCAACACTGTCAGACGTGCGATACGCACTCTATTTCCTGTTCCGCCTCGGTGAGTACTGACACAGTCACTAGCAGAAGGGCCCTGGGGTCAGCAGGTAGGTAACAGGCCCCGCATGGATCGGCCCCCACCCGGCTCCACTCGCCCTGCAGGGGTGGGAGCGCACGAGCGCTCTTCGGTGGCCAAACCGAACCTTGCGCCGAGCTTTGACACCTGGCATTCTGGGAACTTCCTGGGTACCTTCAGCGGCTCTCTGGGGCCATCGCCTCCTGCGGCCCAGTTCTCGCCTCTGGCCTTGCGGCCAGTCCCTCACGGGACACGGAAGTGACACGCGTGCTGCGCTGGCCGGGGCCCCACCTCCCACGCTCACGCCCCGGGGGCGCACTCACCGGCCCGGCCCCTCCCCGTTAGTGTCCCTGTCCAGGTCCAGCTCCAGGTCCCTCTGCGAGGACTCCTCCTCTGACCTCCTGGAAGGGAGGGCGCACGGCGTGAGAGTCGGGAGAGGGAAGCGGACTTCACCCAGACACGGCCGAGAGAGAGAGAGAGAGAGAGAGAGAGAGAGAGACGGGCGGCCCTGCAGCCGCCCCACAGAGGCCTCTCCCAGAGCTGTGATCCTTAGAGACACCCCCGAGGGCATCCCGAAGCCTCGCCTCCCGGCACAGTCCCTCCGGGAGAGGGAGAGCGCCGGCGTCCCTAGCGAGGAAGGCGCTGGTCAGGGCCAGCGGGAGAGGTGTGCAGCCGTGAGCAGCCAGGAGAACTGAGGGCCCCCCTCATGCCGACCTGACCCCCGGGGACTGACCTGAAGGCGATGAGGTTGGTGTAGATGAGTGGGGGGCAGAAGAAGGCGAGAACCAGGGCCCAGATGGGCGTGGTGCTGTCCATCTCCCCCCACCACTTCTGTGTCAGCAGGGACTGTGGGATGTGGGGAGGGTCAGGAGCCTGCATCTCCCCCCCCAGCCCCCTCCCTAGGACCCCCAGCAGGGCTCGGGCCGCAGCTCCACAGCACCGAGGCTGTGTCCATGGCGGGGACTGTAGCTGTGGGAGGTGGGGCGGCGGGGGTGCTGGTGGCTCAAGGCAGGACGCCTGGCCCTGGGCTGGGCACGTCAAGGACTTCGGCGCACTCACGCCTGGTTCACTGCCAGCAGCGAGGGTGTGTGTCACACATGACACAGAGAACATTAAGGAAACGGGGCGAGGACAAGCAGGAAGCGGCGGAGCAGCAATCCGTGGCTCCAGCCACAGAAGGCGAGGGGCTCAGATAATCTGGAATGGCAGCGCGGCCATTGCCGTGGGCGCGGGAGAGACGGGCGCCGCGGGATTCCCGTGGGGTGGGCGGGACTCCCTGTGCCTGTGCCGAGCGCCTGCCGCCTCACACGTAGGAGACTGAGTTTTCCAAACGTCACACTGTCGGGGCGGGCAGGGCGCGAGAGCCTTCCCACGGGAAGTGGGACTTCCTTGACCAGACTTGGACACTGACCGGAGGTCACTGTCGGCGCTGAGAACAGGAAGTGGGAAGGACTTCCCGGGGGTAGGGGGGACTTCCTTCAGCAGAAAGACTGCTGCCTGTATGGGCAGCAGAGGCCTCCCTATGAGGGTGAGCGGGAACTCCTGTATCGGCAGGGGTGGGCTTGTGGGGCAGCAGGTGGCCTTATGGAGACGAGCAAGCCCGGGTAGGGGGCGGTGCCAATGACAGGCGCTCCTCCCCGCAGCCCCTGGACGCCAGCTCACCTGCACCCCATCCTGGGCGAAGAAGGCGCGGGCGTCTGCCTGGGTGGCGAGCTGCAGGCAGGTGGAATCGCCCCAGAGTGGGCAGCGGCGCAGGAGCAGGCGCGCGGCCCTGTCCTCGCTGCTACGGTAGCACTCGCCGAAGAGGTCTGTGCGCAGGCGCCGGGGAGGGGCGGGGTCAGGTGATGGGGGGAACGGAGGTGGGAGGGGGTGGAGCGATGCACAGCCCTCTCCCCTGCAGCCCCCCACCCCATCCAGGCCCCACGCACCAACACCCAAGCCCTCAAACTTGATGGCCAGGTCCTTCCTCCGAGCTGCCTCCTCGGCCTCGGGTTCCTGGCGAGCCATCACTCGGAGCAGCAAACAGGCCCCAAGGGCCGAGGCCACGGAATTGGAGCCCTGCAGAGACAGGCACGGAGCCTGCGTGAGAGCGGTGCCGGGGGTCCGGGTCCCGGGCAGAAGCGGACTGGAGGGTGGGCGCCGGCTTCGTGGCTAAGACAAGTGTTCAGACACCGCATCCCACACGGACACCCCGCTGCAGCCCCTGGTTCCGGACCCCCCAGGGTAGTCCCCGGGGCAGCGCTGGGTAACTGGGTCCCTGCCGC